TTTATATATTTCAAGCCCTTTCAATGTACTACGTACACTATTAATTTCTAGTGATTCAGTAATGACATCATGGAGTCATATAGGATGGTATTTATTTCAATAGCATAAGGAAATAAGTAATATGGGCATGTCATCATAAAGAGGAAGTAAAAGGGAAAATTTAAGATTTGATTTTCTAATAAACTCTAAATATCTGAAACATTTATATTGAAATATAAGTTGGGTAAAAGAGACTGGATTAGTCACTGGCAAGGTGGGTTTAGAAGCTTTTATGATTATGAGAAATCCCAGGTTCCCTCCAAGGAACTTGGAAGTCTCAAAGCCATGAGAATTTTAGTCCATTAAGCCAGACGCATGTTCAAAGTATAAGCCGCCTGCAACCTAAAGATCAAGCTACAAGCTTTCTTGTTTAAGATTGGCGGGGGAGAACAGAATGGAATCATTAGAGGTGCAGAGAGATACCTAGAGAGAGTGTCGTCAACTTATGTGGTCCAGAAGTAGAAGGCAGCTTGAAGTAATGCGCCAGAAGTGGAGTCTTTGAAGATTCCATAGAGGGTCTTGGAAGATGAGAAATGCTTTTGCCAGAGACAGGCCAGGAGGGTGATGAACAAGAGAGTCTACTATTTAGAAATCATTATAGTTGGTTCTTACAAGTTTGGCAGGTTCTTGGTACAATTATATAACTACACATACATTTGGCATACAGAGATGAATTATGTACTATGCATGTAATTACATGTAGCAAAGTGTGTACTTTTATTTGGAGGGTATTTACATAGTACAATGAATAGTGTACTTAGAAATAATTAACATAAAGTATTATTTAAAAAACAAAACAATTAAAAGTAGAATCTAAAATCTTCCTTCTATTTATCCCAGTAGCTGATGTCAAACCATTCTAGAAGGCAGACTCCAAAGACAAAAAGGAGGGTAATTTCCCTCTGTTTATTCATAAATCTTTGATTTAAGGAAAAGGCCTTTTCAAGTTTAAAGTATCTTGAAACTTCTGTCTGAACTTAGACATTCCTAAATTTAAAACACTTACAAATTCAGTCGTCTTGAAAGAATACCTTTATATGATTTTGAACTTCTATATTTGTAATATTGAGACTACATGATTTATTAAGAGTATGATTTTGTATTGACCATAAATAGCTATGTCTTTATGGTTAATAGTGAATAAATCATGATGTAAGCTTTTAGCATTATGTATTATTTCTGTTTATCTGAAATATTTCTTGTTGAAAACCATTTGAAACTGGTTCTAATTTGGAGGCAAAAACTACTTAGAAAATTAATTAAGGTTTTAGGATGAATCTCTCAATTTTTCCTTTGAAGCATATCACATAGAATAAGAAATTCCTGAATTATTTTCTTTCCTTTTCTCCTTCCTTCCTTCATCTCTTTCTTTCTTTCCCCCTTCCTTCCTTCTTTCTTCCCTTTTCTTTCTTTCTTTGTAGTTTGGTTAAAAACTTGACAATATAAACACTTTTTTATGAGATAAAGAATATGGCACTTAAAAAAATATAACGTTCTACAGTATATTTTTTTAATCTGGAAGAATTTCTTGATGGTTAATTCCCTTAAGGAATTAGTTAAGTATAGAACAGTGACTAAATTTGAATCTTTAGGAAACAATACAATGTTCATTTTGGGGGGGCTATCAAAGGAAGACCAATTTACTAAAAATCAACCCGTATAATATTTTGGAGGGTTTGCCAATTTTCACCTTAATGTTGTTAATAAACTATATATAGATGTCAGGGAGAGAATTCACCCATGCAAGAAAGGTAAGGAAGAGGGAACTCTGGAAGGTGCTTTACAATTTTCTATAAGTTATATTACTTAGCATTTTCACAACCTCAGTGTGATCAATCAAGTTTTTTAAAGGCAAAATAAAATGGGTCACAAATGAAATTTAGGAATTCTGAGCTTCTATATTTTAGTTCTATAGCTTCTATATTTTGTTGCCTTATTTGGTGCTAATTTAGTCTCAGAAGCAAACACCATTTTGGTGAACCATCCCATCTGATTACTGGGGGCTTAATTTTGAAAGCTGGGGGCGGTGAATTAGTCAGATACTGGGAACTGTGAGCTTTCTTCCTCTAAAGGGAGAGCCTGAATATTAAAAAGTGACCAAATGCCTCTGGATTGTTTTTCTTGTGCTTTATTCTAAGTAATATCAATTACACGTCAAGGTGCTTTTTGGTACTGGGCCAGTTATCTTACTAATTCACCCTTTTCTCACACTGTGTTCCAGGAGGTCACAGGCATTATTACATTATCATTGTGGGTATCAGTGAAGAGCTAGGTCCTAAAGCCCTCTCATTTTCTAAGCATTTTATGCAGTGCACAACTTTGTAGATCCACTATATTCAGATGCCAGAAGGTCCTCCTCCTGAACTTTTACAATGATGAAGCTGAAGGACAATCTGAAAAAAGAAAGAAAACAATCTTTAGAAATAGATGTAATTTGCTGTTATTCTATGTCTACACCTGCTCAAGAAAAAAATGTACGTTTAAAGGTTTTTTTAAAAAAGTTATTTGCAGATTATTTCACTCAGCCAAAATAATTTTTGATTAATGGTTTGTCTTGAGTAATTTTCCTTTTAAAATGGTAACGTTTTGTGTTTCTGGGAAGTTATTCTAAACTTTTTTCCCCATGAAGAGAGCAATAAGGCTTGCATAACTCAAAACTCTGGTAGAAGAAATCTAAACTTTATTTAAAGAGAGCTTGACCTCTGGGTCATCTAGTGTGCTATTTCTTTACTAAGTCAGGTTAACATGTAAATAATATTAAACATAACCAGAAACGTAACAAGGATATTTAATACTCATCAACTTTATTTCTAAAATATTGCAGTGGATTCAGAACTCTGAATTCCAACCAGATGTACTTCTGGAGTATTACACAGGTCATATATGTTTCACTTTTTTTGTTCAAACCCAAGGGATCGACACGATAATTAGATTGAGAACATCTGTACCAAATCCAAACCATTTCCCTTATCCTTCCCCACGGGAGAATTTTTTTTTTCTTTTTTTCTTTTTAAAAGCTCCTGAACATTTTATTTGTCTAGCCACCTTTAGGGCAATTCCTAGATGACTGCCTGCCTGCCACCGCACAAATAGGGGAGGGAAGACTTCCCCCCAGCGTAGGCTGGGAAATAATGGTTAGAAGTGGGGTTTTGTCGGGACAGGAATGGCTCAGTGTGGCATTGCCTCTTCCCGCCAGGAATCTGGCTCCCGGACCGGGCATGGCCAGGTACCCGGGCCAGGAGCGCGGGTGGGCACGTGCACCGGGACCCGAAGACCCGAAGAGTGTCAGGGCGCCGCTGCCCTCTACCGGGCGGCGCTGTCCGAGCTGCCGCCGATCGTCGGCGCGCGCGGGCTCAGGAGCCTCACACTAAGGCAGCCTTCGTCCACCCGGGGTCTGCAGTGCCCTGCTGGGTCGCGAGGCACAGCATCTGGGCCAAAAGCCTGCGAAGCGCTCCAGTTAGACTACCGTGCGCTCCCATCCACCTGCTTCTTGAGCTTCCGAGAGTCAAAGGCTGGGATGGGGACGTAGAGCGATCCCTTTCCAGACCTTAAGTTTTCGATGACTCGGAGGTCCCTGGCCCCAGTGCAAACCTTGAGAACCTATGTGTTTTCTACATCTTAGGGGACTTTGATTTCCAGTCCTTTCCTTTAGAAATGCTGAAATTCACTACAGTGATCGACGCTAAACCCTCGATTTCAGCCGAAAAGCAATTATTTTCCACTTATGTGTTTTATTTTGTATTGCATACAGACTTTATTTACATATAATTTTCAAGATTAAGGAATTTGGGGATTTGTTTTAACTAATTACACGTTAAATGAAGTGCGAGAGGTAAAAGTATAGAATTCCTACTGGAAAACTCAAATTTGCACGTGTGTGTAATCAATTAAAGACGACGATTACAAAACGGGTGCTTTGGTCAGATTTCTGCAAAGAAGGAAATCAAAACAGAATTCATTTTTCGGTTTGCAATTTAGCATTCTTGTAAACTTGGGGACACGCTTGCTGTTTCAAGCGAGTGCACGCAAGCTTTCCAACTTTCTGCACCCAAAGGAGTAGAAGCCGAGATGTCTAAACCGAAAGAAGTTTCTTGGTTTGTGCCGCAAAAACGGTGCGGGGACACAGAACTGAGCTCCAAGACTTTTACTGTCGTAGCCTAGGCAGGAGCGGTTTGGGCAAAGGGGGGCCGCGGGGACCCCCGTGCTATCGCCGTTGCTGTTCACCCTGGTGCGACTCGGGACTGTCGCTGCCGCGGTGTGGGACATGAACGTCCGCCGCGACCTGAAAGTCAGAGGTCTTCTTCCGTCAGCTCGACTCCCCGACCATGAAACGCTGTTCCTGGCCGCGGCACGCTCCGAGTTCCCGACAGAGTGCAGCAGGACCGGACAGTGGTGGCCCGTGGCCAGCGCGCCTCGCACACGCACTGCTGCCGTGGGCCTGGGCCGCGCGGGGTCTGGGCTCGGGCAACTGGACGCTGGGCCAGAACGAGTGAAAAGGGGGCTGTCCCGGCGTCCGCCTCAGAGCCCCCAAGCTGGGGCCCTGAAAGGGCTGCGCTCCGCTGCCGCCCGCGACCCCTGGGGGGCCTAAGCGTGCCCCAGGTGAGCTGGGCCCGGGGCCTCGGCGGGGGCCGGAGCCCTTGCCGCGACCCGTAGCGCCCCCTCAGGGTTGGGCGCGCGGCCGCCGCGATTGGGGCTGGGGGTGCGGACAGGGGCGGGGGTCGCGGCCCCAGCGGTCGCCGCGCGGGGAGGACGCAGCGTCGCGCGACAAGCCGGCCAGCGGCCGCCGCTCCCGGGGACTCCGACTTGAACTCGCCATGGCTGCTGAGGCGACGGCGCCGTGAGGAAGAGTCCGCGTCCGCTGTGTCGGCGGCGGCGGCCGGCTCCAGGCCGGGTTTTGGCGCCGCCCGCTTGCTGCCTCCTGGCGGCTCCTGAACTCCAGCCCCCTCTCTATCAGCCTCTCACTCCGTCTCAATATGTCTCAAGATGGCGGCCAATGTGGGATCGATGTTTCAATATTGGAAGCGCTTTGATTTACAACAGCTGCAGGTCAGGCTTCTCCGCGCTCGGCCTCGCGCCCGGGGGTGGGGGCTGCGGGCGGTCGCGGCCTCCCCCGGGGACCCCGGGCTGCCCGGACGCCGGGGGGCCGCGGCGGCGGGGAGGAGGGGGGTGCCGGGGAGAGCGGGGCCGAGTCGGGCACAAGTCCCTCTCGCTCCCAGGGCCCCCATTGATAACTCGCTTGATCAGAAATTGATCCTCTTTGTTCAATTCATCGATCAGCCCAAGATGGCGCCGGGAGCCGTCGCCGCCGCCACCGCTGCCCCCGGTGTCTGCCCCCACCCTGGGCGCCCCCCCCGGCCCGGCGCCGCTGCTGCCTGCGCCTCCGCCGTCGCCGCGGGACCAGAGAGGGGGCGGCCTGGTGGCCCCGCGGGGCGCGCGCATGAGGGGGCGCAGGCGGCGGGCGGCGGGAGGAGACTGCGGCCCGGCGGCGGCGGCGACTCCCGCCCGCGCGCCCGCGCCCCCGGCCCTCCGTATTCCCGGGGAAAGTTTGTGGGGAGTTGTTGTGGGGGGTGAAGCGCCTGCCTCTTCAGGAGGAGCCGCCGGCGCGGCGGAGCTGGGGCTGGTGGCGCTGTGGTGCCGCTGGCTCGGGGGAGGGTCACAGCGGCCACCGGCGGCGGCGGCGCGGCCCGGCTCCGGCCAGGCGGGCGGGTGGCCGGGCGGGCGCCCGCGCTCACTGCCCGGGGCGGCCCGGGCCCCGAGCGCCCTCTCCTCCGCCCCCTGTCAGTGTGTTTTTTCTCCGCCGCCGCCGCCGCCGCCGCTCGGGCACCCGGCGCGGACCCCGGTTTGTTTACGTCCCGGGAGCGCCCCGGGGGCCACCCGCAGCCGCCTCGCTCTTTTGTGTGCCGGCGCGAGTTGCCCGTCCGCGTTCCGGGGATCTCGCGGGGGCGCTTCTGGGAAATTTGACGAGGGGCGGCGGGGGCGTCCTGCGCGCAGTGCCGTGGGTCGCCGCGTCCGGGACCGGGAGGAGGCTGCAACTTTCCTGGAGCGGCTGTCCGCGCGGGGGGCGCGCTTCCCCTCGCTGCCGGCCCTCTCCTGCGCGCAGGGACTCTCGTGGCCCCGGGGTGGCCGCCGCTTGTTACATTCCGGCCCCTTCCTCTGGGTGACCCGGGAAGAGGGCTCTTGTCTTCTCTGCAGGGTCCGCGGGGGCTATGGAGCGCGCGGCCGCTCCGCTCCTAGATGCTTCCTCGGGCCGGGTTCTCGAAAGCAAAGCCGCGCGGGCCCCGATAGACTGTGGCGTGCGGGAAGGTGGTCCCGGCGCCGAGCCCCAGGAACCCCATCCGGCGCTTGAGCTGTCGCCGCGCTCAAGAAGTGCGCTCCTGCCTGGCAGCCCCCACCCGGAGGAGCGGCGCGTCCTCGGGGTCCGCCCCGCACATGCCTGCTCGGCTCTTGCGGCGGCTGGACAGCCCCGGGACTTTGCCAGGTGGATGTGTGTAGCTGGAGCCAAGTTGAAGGTGAGCGGCTTGGGGGGCCAGAAGCTCTGTGAACACTGGGGGCCCGGGAGGGAGACAGTCGTGTAACTTAGAAGGACCCAGGATGGCTTAGTGCCCCCGGGGTCCCCACGACGTCCCTGGGGTACCGCTGCTTCTCAAGCCTATAGGGTGTACACCGAGGTGTACTTGGCTGAATTTTGCTAACCCGGGGGACTGATGGACAGTCACCACAGCACCTGTGGTAGTAAAGCAGACAACTACACATGCAGGCTTTTAAGAAATGAAGTGGATTGGATTAAAACATATGTAAGTGGAGCCTGGCAACTTTAATTGTATGCCCTTGTTTTCTGTCCTTGTTTTCCACCCTTGCCTACGTAAAAACGATAGAGCAGACTCATAGTCGTTATGAAATTTCCTCAGATTTCTCGCTTAACTAGGAAGAAGAGTATGTGAACTATGTATTTCTGATAAGATTAGAACTTAAAGGAGTTTGAGTATTTATTGACTAAAATAGATTACTCCAAAGTGTCTATTGTGTAAATTAGATTCCTGAATGTAATGAACACAGCGGAATGGCATTTTTGATAAATTGGTCTACCCTGTTTTAGTAAAAATAGCTCCCTTTACCATAATTTAATTCCTCTGCTTACTGTAAAACCCGTTCTGGAATGTTAAGAGACAAACCTTAATATTCCCCCCACCTCTTGTCTTACTAAATGTGACATCCTAGTTTAATATCAATGAAGTTTCTCTTTTTAAGCATCCTGGCAGAACTGCCTGGGAGATGGGTTTGGTTTCTAGAGAGTTATTAGATTTTATGAACTTGATATAAGCACACCTCCCCTTACCCATTGATTAGCTACTTCTTCAGGGGATCATGGGGACATTTAATGGTATGGTTGTAGGATTTGATTAAGGTTCCCTGGCAGTTCACTTGAATGAATTTTATGTTGATCTGGAAAATGCAGCAATATCATACAAAATCCTTTCTCTGAGCAGCATTCTTTCTATGAATATCCATTGCCCTTTGGTGGTAGTTAATGACTTGGCCTTAGATGATTTTCTGTGGCTGCTCGGTTACACGTTTGAAGACATTATTTGAACATGGAATGTCAAAGTTCGGGTATAAGGCCAGACTGGTCCTTTCTCTGAGTCTTGGGGAGGCCTTTGAGCTGGTGTCTGGTTGAGTGTCCACTTTGTTCCCATAGACAGTAAGTGAGCCACTGAGACTGCAGTTTGAGCAAGAGTTTATTAGTTTCAGACTCTTCTCTCTCTGGACTCTTAGACTGAAATGGGGTTGCTTACAAGCCCACTGTCTGCTGTGGCATTGCCACCCCAAGGCAGAGAGGCTGAGCTCAGGTAAATAGACCAGGTTAGAGACTTCAGTGGGTCTGGATGAGACAGTTCTGGGCAGTTCTGTACCTCCTCAGCACCCCAGTGAGCCATGGTCATGTTCTTGTCCCTTTGCTTCTTGGATCTTGAAGTCACTGTGGGGACTTGGAGTGAAACAAAATCGTGCTCTACTTGGTTTCCTTTTTTAGTCCCAAAGGTTTGCGGTATGGAAGTTTTGGTGCTTTGGCGTTGCTAAGACTAGTTGGACAAGTTTTTATCCTACCCCAGACTTGTAAAATCCAGACTTTTTTTTAAAAAGTCAAAAAACCCCACCATTGTATAAATTTATCTTTTAAATACACGTTTGAAAAGAGAACACTTTCTAAAACAAGCTCATGCAACTTTGTTACGTGATTGTGGAGTTCTGAATTTTTTGGGATGGGACCTGCCAGCCCTGGCTCCTTTTTGCAGAATTGTCCTCGTGTGGGGACTTATTTTCCGCTTTAAGGGTACTCTGCCATGGTGAGCTTTAAAAGTTACTCTCTTTTTCAATATCAGAAAACAATTTCAGTTTTGCCCAATTTGTTTTCTGGTTGCTTTTGCTTTCTCCTATCATGGAAGTGTGTATGTCACCAGCTGTCTAGACTGTTCCCTGTAATAACTCTTTTATTTATTTATTTTTTGGTACCGGGGATCAAACTCGGGTCCTTGTGCTTGCGCAGCAGGCGGTGAAACCACTGAGCTAAATTCCCTGCCAAATCTTTTATTTTAATTAAGCTATCATGTGTAGTAGCTTCATTAGAGTAATGAATAAATGAACGATGCTGCCACTGCTCTTCTTTTTGTTTTCTTGGTTCTTTTAATATTGGTGTCTTAGAGATTGGGAGTGTGAAGGGCTCATTACCTGTTGCTTGAAGTTTTTGCCTGGGTGAAAGGTAAGTCATTGCAGCGATAAAGTTAACCACAGCGCCTCCTTGGTACAGCTAGGTGCACAGAGCCCTTTTGCTTGCATCCCCAGTTTGAGGTGTGTCCATAGTTAACTAATTCAGGAAAGTTGGAAAGGAGACAGCCTGCTGCTCTCCAGAATTATTCTGTCCTTAATCCTCCGAGCTAACCTTAAAAATGCCGAATAGCGACCTCATTGAGCCCACGACCTTTAATGGTTGTTTAAAATGACTTCTGTTGCTGATAAATTAAAAAAATCCCTCAGGGTTTGTGTGGGAGCTGTGCAGACACAGTAGTTTATGCTCTGTGATACCACAGTCAGTCTTAGTAACAAGGCTAGAAGTAGAAAATCCATTTTTGTTTCAGTTCTGTGTGAAATGAAGGAAGGACAAATTAATTAGGGGAAAATTGGTAAATTTTTAAAGGAGAAATTATTGTATGAAAAACCCTACAGAGCTAGGCTCATTTCCAACCTATGTTTCCCTTTTATATAGTTCACACATTTGGATCATGTAAATTTCACATACAGTATTTGAAATGCAGGTGTATCTTCTGAGTTGTATAAAGTTGCTATAAAAGTTTTTCTAATATTCAAGATCATGTTGCTGTTAAATGCATAACTTAAAATAATTGCTCTCATGAAAAGTCTGATTTTTATTAGTAATTGTCAAAGACAGAAGTGTGTCTAGTCCTTTTGTTTTGTCTGAAGCTCTGAGTTATCACTGCAGAGAGATAGTTTTAGTTTCAACTGAAATTTCCCTGCCTCTGGTTGTTTAAACCAGACCCTTAATCTTATTTTAACATATTTAAAGTGTTCAGAAAACCCGGAAGAATTGTTTTGTGTAAGTAGCAAGTGAACATAGTTTAAACACTCAAGCAATTCTGGTATCTAATTGGAAACAGGTGGAATTCTTGGACTCTTGTATTTGAGTCTTCTATAGCCAAGAATAGGGACACTTTTTACTGTGGCTATTCATTCTGTGGACACTCTTTGTAGAGGGGTTCCCCAGCCTCTCATTGCGCCCTGTAACTATTTACCAGAATGTTCCAATAATCCTGGGTGTTACAGGACCTGGCTGCCTGTGGATGTCTGAACACTGAGCGAATTGTGTGTTTGCAGATAGAGTGAAAAAAGAATTCTACTGGCATTATTAAACAAACAGTTTATTATCTGTCTTGTGTAACTTATATAGCAAAGAAATTGTGATTTTATTTTGTGAATTCTGATTTAGTAAACATTTATTGACCAGTGTGTAGATGCATTTTATTATACCCTGACAGTGGTTTAAAATTCAGAGAGAAATTACTTTCCTTATGAGTTCTATGTCGGGCCAGGGATGTAGCTCAGTGGTGCTGCGCCTGCCTGGCAAGTGCAAGGTCCTCAGTTCAATCCCCGGTTCCACAAAAAAGAAAGAAAGAAAGAGTTCTGTGTTTAAAGATATAAGCTTTTTGGACCTGAGTTCAATCCCCGGAACACACAAAGAAAGCTTTTTTGTTGTTGTTATTAGTTTTTTGAGACAGGGTCTCACTATGGTAGCCCAGGCTGGCCTGGAACTTGTGGCAGTCCTCCTGCCTCAGCCTCCTGACTGCTGGGTTTACAGGCATGCGCCACCAAGCCTGTCTTAGAGATATAAGCTTTAATTGCAGCCAAAAAATATTAACTTGGTTTGGGGCATTATTTCAATAAAATACTAATGATGGGCCCCTCCAAATTGTCTGTCCTTTTTCCTGTTCTAGTTTTCAAAATGTGTTCCTGAAAGCCCCTTCATAGTCCTGGTTTTGCTCTGTATTTAGAAGCAAGTTTTGGTTTGTGTGCAGGTGGTGGGTATTTCTGGAGGACAACTGAGATTTGTGTTTGAGCTGCTGGTACTGCTGCAGTTTTGACTTTGCTGAGCTGCAGTGGGTCCTGGTTTCCAGCAAGGTGCTGAGAAAGTGGTGGAAGAGAGCAGTCTCTGGCAGGGAAGGAGGTGTCCCTGCAGGAAGTGAACTGGAATTGAAGGAGAGCATGAGCCATTGTCCTCATTTGTGCCATGCCTAAAGCAGCTTTGAAGCACCTTTGTTACGACTTGCAGATTTTTAAAAAGAGCTTATGCTATATACTATGCACAGAATATGACAGTTAAAAGAGAGGGCAACAACTCCATTTGAAAGACATCTGATTTGTTGCAAACCCCACCAAGAACTTTTCCTTTAAAAACCAAACAGCTCTCTGGTAAGAAAAATTCTCATTCTTTTTTTTTTTGGTACCAGGGATCGAACTTGGGACCTCGTGCTTGCAAGGCAGGCACTGGAACCACTGAGCTAAATCGCCGGCCCCCTATATTCTCATTCTTGCTGTAATTAAATTCCAATAGGATGATGTTAATGCACAAAATACAGGCTGTCAATTTCTTCATATTAGTCTGAAGTCTTTTCCTTACTGTAGGAGGGCCCGGGCTGTTGGCAAAATTTTTGTGTTTAATAGAGCCCTGGGCCCCAGGAATCCCAGGAATTTCTATGGCCACAGGGTTGCCAGAGCCCCAAGAGGGACTGGTAGGTACCCACAGGGGTCTTCCTATGCAGAGGAGCCCAATTTGGCAGGAGATTAGGAGGAAGGAGAATAAGACTATTCTTGCCAGGGGTTTACTGACATTGAAGAGCAGTCCAAGCAGTAGCTGGGTAGGAGATTCACAATAAGTGAAACTGACTAGGTCTTGCTTCCTTCCATTAAAGTGTTTGTGAAACTGAGAAAAGAATGCCAAGGC